TTTAGATAACAAGGGAAAACATTTAGATCATTTTAGATCATAACAATATTTGAAAGCGGAAGAAACAAAACAGACATATTAAAATATGTTGAAATGACCATTCAAAATCATATTAAAACACTATTCTGAAGATAAATAATGGATCAAAATGGAGAAACTTAATATAACTAATCAAAAATTTGAAGGAAAGAAGCCACATTTGAAAAATTTCATATTGTTTTGTTCAATTCCACAAAAAATAATGCTCGGTCTTAAAATTGAAAAAAATTTGCAACGCACAGATTTACTTGATTGCTCTAATCACTTTCAGTTGATTTTTTATAGATTTATAAATAGAATGGAGAGTAAAATCATGTAACATCAACAACTTCTCAACTAGCTGACTAATTTACACTAGACACTTAATGTGTTTCAAAAATGTTACCAATGTTTAATTCAGAATTAATATGACCCTCATAACTTTTGAATCCGAAAAGATTGTACGAAGCATGATCTTTCTGAAATCTAATTTGATTTCATACTCTTATATAATATAAATTAAGAAGAGTAAAAAAATGAAGAGGTACAATTAGGAGGATACTGCAGATGTAATATTTGGTCCAGCTGAAATTATGATTTCACCATATGGTTCTGATTGCTGCACATCAATCGCTTGCCATTTTTTTAAAACAAGCAACATGGAAAACTTCTGAGCAGCAGTTTTTCGCGTTGATCCTTTTGTAAGAAGATCAGTGAATAATATCTAAACAGTGACATATTATATTTTTTTAATAACTTGCCATTACACATATTTTTAATAACCTACCATTACAAATACACGAATTCCCTAGCAACCAAAAACAAAAACCACTTTATATCAAAAAATCGTACTGGGATTTGCATCTAAATAATCCTTCATCAGGTTGTGAAATCACTCTGACGAAAAACGTACCTTTCCATCAGCAGAGGCTTTAATTTTAGTTGAAATAGAATTCAGAACATTTTGCGTTCTTTTCGTCCACCTATGTTCATCTTCACCATCAGCTCCTGTTTCATCCTCATCTATTGTACGCTGTAAATCAAAATTACTTATTCAAATCTAGCCGAGAAGTAAATTATCCATGAATCTCAAAAAGGGTAAAATAATACTTCCGCTCGGCTTTTTCGTTCTTTTTTTCTTTCAGGACTCGTGAAGACATCTTTACTAATGGATATTAGCTGCTCTTCCGGAGCAATCGGTACTTCTTCTTCTGGAATTGTCTCTAATTGCCCCATAGTTTCGTCCGGTGACATTGCTGCCATGCCCACGTCATCGAAGTCATCCATGCGGTCTTCCTGAAATAACCTGTTTCTAATCATGAGTTCGGGAGAATAAATGATCGGAATGAGAAAAATATATGTGCCAAAAGGAAAATATGTACCAAAAGTCCCGAGATGATGCTGCCCTCGGGCTCAATATTATCATCAACATGTTCTGCCATTTCCAAATCCTTTCGTATTTGGTCCCCTGTGAGTGTGCTTGCACTATGCACACGGTAAACAAGATGAGAACGGTACAACTATAAAATAATATATAAAATTCTCATCATGAATAAGTATTACTGAATATTTCAGATCATTTGTACAACAAATTTTTAAAGTGATCCTATTCATTATTTGAGGAAGTAAAAATATGTTAGATTTAATAAATCCTCCCGCAATTCTTGATTTTTTGTTCTAAATTTACCTTTAAAAGATTTTGTGCTCGCAGATGCGCACAACCTGGAATAGCAAATAGTTTATCAGCAGTCCCAGTTTCTTTAAGCCTCATCAATTTCCTTGTGGGTGGTGCAAGATCCAATGGTTGTAATGTGTCTCTGCAAAAAGTATAATTCTCAGAACAAAGTTTAGTTAAAATTTCGAGCACTCAATTTTAATTCAAAATTAATTACACTGAATCTATATGGAGTATCTTCCACAGCTTTCTATAGGTTTTATCCCGCACACTGTTATTAGTTCACTTTTAACTGGATAAATAATGAACAAAAAATCAAAATATAAATCACAACTATACAGCAATCACGTACCGATATTCAGCCATGTTTCCTTTCATTTCGTCCCCTGAAATATTCTTCTGCTCGTCAACTATCAATCGACGCCTGCGTTTTGGTCGGCCAGGTTTCTCGATCCCAGCTACAGCAACAGCAGCTGCATCCAGCGGCTCAAGAGTAAAACTTTCGTTGGCTAGTCCACCTTAAGTACAGACCAACATTAATGGAACTAATAAATATAAGGAACACAAGAGTCAGACAACGCACCAGCAGTGGGAATTACAAGCCCTGCTATTGCTGTCGCTGCAACATCTTCCGTTTCCATTGGAATATCGTGTTCGGCTCCAGGAGCTTCCATTGCGTCCAAACTTTTTGCTAATTCGCTCTCATTAAAAATTACTTCTGCAAATTTAGATTTGTTAAGAAATATTCTATCAAATCTGATGAATATCCTGTCAAGCCTAAAAATATTGAAACTCCTATAAATAGATTAAAGAATCTATGCAAACGAGAATAATGCCTTTATTTTTGTTTGAAAGCAATTCGAATACAGCTAACTGGATTCCATGAACCGATTAAAAAAACATACCGTCCAGCATATTGTCTGCAGGAAAATCACCAAAATCATCATCCGGCATTGGCATTCCAAGATGATCAGCAATATCAACATCCATTGGTTTCCCGCTAATAACATCACCTTTCTCGCCACCTGGTTCAGATTCCTCCAGAAGCGTTGCTGCAGATCTACTAATCCCTGCCTCCGGCGCATAGGATACGCGTTCACGAGCTTCTTCAATGTTAACATCACTGAATAAACCTAGCGAACTTTCTCCAAAATCATCGCCCTAAAAATGCTTATTTGAATTAGACCTAGAAAGACAATATAACCAGAAAAATATAGTAAAAACTAAGATGCAAAGTTGAAATAAATCAATTATCATAACAAGTACCCCAAATTCTGCCCCAAAAGGCATATCTGTTGTTTCTGGTATAAGATCTTCCTTCAGAGTAATATCATCAATTCGACTCTGGTTGATATGAATTTGTGCGTGCATGTCCAACTCGTTGAAATCCGGTAATGCAGCGTCAAAATCGTGAAAAACCTTAAATTTTGACAATGGTATGAACAAAAAAATATTAGTTTAGCGATTCAAAGTATGAACAAATAAAACAAACAGGGATCACTAAAAAATAAATCAAAAAAATTTTACCTCCGGAAGATTAATAGCAGCACTTGCAGCCTGTTGTCCATCTTCATCCAATTCCACTTGACCAGGGCGAAATGCCATTTTAATTTTGAGGAATGCCTCATTACAGTCAGCCAAAAGATATTTCGCTTTGCGTGAGTATATCCGCACAATACCCAGTAACAGATGACCCGTTGTACGCAGGGCCATTTTAACCTGGGAAAATTAATTCCTTGGAAAAAATTTACGGATGGAAACTGATCATACTATTCCTTTTTGACTGTGTTCTCAACCTCCATTTGAAATTAATTGTTAGTGCCCCTCAATCCGAGATAAAATAATCAAGTTCGCTCTGTTAATATAGTTGTAATTGTCCCATTTCATAAAGTGAACATAAATTATTTGTTATCATAAACTCGATCAATGCACCTACCTTAGGTTTTAATATCTCATCCACAGCATCCTGTACATTTGTTTCATAAATTTGTGCTTTTGATAATTTTTTCTCCCAGTGTGCAGCGAGCCAAATTTTGGCTAAAGGACCTTTTTTCGACAAGACGAACTGGGCGTAGAACATCTCCTCCTCAAGAAAGACCTGAAAATGTCATGTCAATTAAAATTTAAGTACATAAGTACAGAACTGAATAAATCCATACTACAACTGGAGGTCACGTTTTCTATCGGCATTTACATATACAGATGATTTGAAGTTCCTATAGTTCTAAGAGATTTTAAAAATATTCGTATAAAAATTTTAAATGTATCTATCAACAGAATCAGAATAAAAGTTGTACCGCAGCAAATACACACGCATGTCAAATGTGTCGTTATGTCGGAGAAACAATTTTTACAGTGTCTATCATAGTCGACTATGATAGACACTGTAAAAATTTTCTCACCGTCATTTCTCACCAATTGTCATACAAATGGTGAGAAATGAATCGCAGATTAAGCAAAAAATATCTCAATAATGTAGATAAATAAGAAACAAGCAAAACGAGTGGCGGACGCATAATAAGTACACTTAACTTAAACATGATATTTTTTGTTCTCTATATCATGCAATCGAGATTTTACAAACTCTATGAAATCTCCCGTAACCTCTAAGCCCATCTACTCACTCACGTGAGAAACTCACAATACATAAAGAACCGCGCGTATATCCCATTATACTCGTATATAAAATGCGGTATGCGGCCCACCGTTATATTTGATCAACATTTTATCCAGCTGTTGCTATTTCCCGTCCTCCTCCTTTTGTTTGTAGTACTGTGATCATACTGTAGTCTTACTGTAGTCGGGTTGTCAACGATGACCGCAAGGAGGATTTGCATTTGATGGTTGTGATGTTCCATTCGGAGAGCAAAGATTTCGATTCGGTCCATTTATCAATCTATTTATGTAGATTTTATTTTGGACTGGAATCGGAAAATTTTCCGAATAGCCGGTTTAAAAATGTATATTTGATAGCGGCATTATTGTTGTTGCCTGGTAAAGCTATAAAAATATTAAATGCAAAAACTTTAAATTAAACCACAATTTATAAATGCCATTTCTGTGATATTCGAAAACTTTTCCGTACTGTTTTATTGTGTCATATAGGCTTGTTTTTTCATGGAAATGGCAAACGTGCAATTTTTGCATTATTTTTTAATGTGAATAGAAAATGAAGTGAAATGTAAATGTTTATCATAGCTGTCATATTAGATTATTTGAAATGAATACTGAAATGAAATAATTTTGAAATTGGAAGATTTTGGAATTTTCGGTGTAAAATTGAGAAATATTATTTTCAGAATAGAAAATGTTGAACCGTGTGTTGAGTACGTGTATAGATGGGCGTACTGTGCGTATCAATGTTATGCAACCATTGACAGTTAATTTTGTAACTGATGATCAATTATCAGTAGAGGAAAGAAGCAGTGCTATACTGGCAAAATATAAAGAGGTATTGTTAATTACGTTCAGTGGATTTTCATACTGTCGATTGTTTTCAGAATAATTCAGCTATTAACTTTGTTAATTTTGGCAAATGAGCAAGAGCATAAACATAAATGTCACATTTCCTTTATGTGAAAACTAAACGTAGACATAATATTCTTTATTGAAATAAAGCATATCGCTGTGTTTTTTGTTAAATAGGAAACGGCTTAGCACATAAGGTAGCATTTTTCATTGCTGAAATCATATCTCTCAAGGTTTACATATGAGATATCTTTGTTGAATTTCATATATATTATTAACCGTGGTTAGGCACTAAATTTTAGCACCATATTTTAAAATTTTTTTGTGCAATCTTAAGGTTATACGCTTCGATTATTTTAGGCCAGTGGAGTAACCGCAACATTGCCTAGGGTAAATGTTCGCAGATTATCACCTAAGCCTCTCTCGCCCAAAAATTTCGAAATACCTAAAGGATATATCAAATATCGTGTGAAACTAAATGAAGAAATGGACAGCATTCTGGAGTATGATGTTGACGAGGAGGTTTTTTTTTCATGTTTCACTATTCTCAAACTGTTATGATGCCTGAACTTCAGCTTCAGATGCTGGTGTCATTAATTTTTAACTTGTTAAAATACAAAGAATTTTTTTGTAATTTTAGATAAAGCTTATGAAATTATTCTTTACAGGATATGAAATGGTTAACTCATACAAAGAATTTTTTTGTAATTTTAGATAAAGCTTATGAAATTATTCTTTACAGGATATGAAATGGTTAACTCTTGTTTCAAAGAAATTAGAGAAAGCTGGTGAAGAACGTCTCAGTGTACATAGTTTTGAAATTGCAATGGATCGTCTAGAAAAAGAAAGTTTTTTCCAAGTAAGATATCTTGTTGGGTAATCAGTTTGACGAACATTGGGATAGTTAGTTTACATTTTATTAGAACGAGGCATACTAACTACAGACAGGTAAGATACTTAGAGTTTCATAAGAAAAGCGTAGGATGCTAGGATGAGTAACGCACCAACACATAGTTAATGAATAGATTTTAGAAATTGCCATTCATGATTCACGTGAAAAAAAGTTGTAAAACATTTAACACTTATACTTAGTTTATATTTTATATTAATATTTTATGAGACATTTTCTGGAGACTTCCAGAGGATAGTTTTTTGGACATTTGGCAAAGATATTTGATTTTTCTTTTCTTTTTGATGTTTAAACTGTCTTGTGCAATTTATGAGGCATTGGTAATCAATGCAAAGAATTAGATTTTTTCTTCTGCTTTCGTGATTGGATCTATAAATCTCTATTTTATAAACAAAAAAATTACAGTGCTCAAAGGGTGACGGTAATTATAAATGTTTGGTTGATCAAGATGCTGTATGCTGTGTATGTAATGATGGAGAAGGCAGCAACATTAATCAAATTATATTCTGTGATATGTGCAATATTGCCGTTCATCAAGTATAGTGCTTTATTTCTCTACTTTGAATAAATAACATTCTGATCTTTGAGCTCGCAATATTAAGCTTTATTTTATTTCATCGACGCTCTGAATGAATTTTGTCATTTTGTCTATTTTGTTTCTTTTTTCCTACTCTAAGGATATTATTGATAATTACATTCACTTTTTAATTGAAATTCAGGATTGTTACGGCGTGCCTTATGTTCCGGAAGGTCAGTGGCTTTGTCGCCGTTGTCAAATGTCACCATCAAAACCAGTATCATGTGTACTTTGTCCAAGTTCGCATGGTGCTTTTAAACAAACAGTTGACAGTCGTTGGGCCCATGTTGTTTGTGCATTATGGCTGAATGAGGTTATTATTACTGGTAATTTATAATTTGTTTTACCTTTAATAATGTTTTTAAAAATTGTGAGTTTAAAAAAATAAGAGGGAAGATGATGAGGAGAGAAATGGAAGATCTCTTAATTCTATGGATGGTTTAGATTATGAGGTACCATATTGTGAAAACTGATTTTTAAACTTATGATATTATCTCTCCATATCGGATGATTTGAAGTCAAAATTCAAATTCAAACAGCGAATATAACTAGTTGAATTGAAATTCATATTTTTTATTTACGCTTCTTTCTCACTTTTACTAATTGAAAATTTCTTAGGTTCATTTCGCAAACAGTGTGTTTATGGAACCAATTGATGGAATTGAAAATTCATTAAAACGAAGACAACGACTGAGATGTATCGTATGCAAGCAAAAAGTGGGAGCATGCCTGCAGTGTTCTAAGGTATGACAAATAATTTACTGGCCTATCAAGTAGTTTACTTTCGATCATGAACTTGAACTTGAATAGACGAGATCCTATTGCTAATTACATTAATAAAAACTAGAGCATGATAGTTTTGTAAATTCAGTATTAAAACAGCTTCGTCTACTAAGAAGATAGCTCGTATGATAAGTGGTGGCAGCTAGTCGGGAAGAGCAGTGGAATTCTTGGCTAGGTATGATACTGAAGAAAAAAAGGAAAAAGAATTTAAGACCAAGATAAAAAATCGTTTATTAACTAAGAATTAAATAGTAGTACTGAAATTGAAAGTCTAAGCACACTGATTTGAAATAATAACATACCAGGACAGTATGCTGATGTCGAAGTTCTTTGTTACGATAACTTTAGTCATATTCTTTCCAACAATACATTCATATTTTTTTCTTTCCAAGCTGAGTCAGTCCTTCAGAAAAGTTGTACCCGTTCATTTCACGTGACATGCGCAAATGCCGCGGGTATGGAAATGCGTGCCGAAATAGTTGATAATCCCAAACGTGAAGGTGGCACTGAAATACGGTATACAGCATACTGTCATTTTCATTCAACTGATTTTGCAAAGTATGTTTTAAAGATCTTCCACATCTTGCTTAGAAAAAAAACA